CACACATGTGTACATTTAGATAGAACCTGTACAGGATGCATTTTATATTTACACTTTTGATCTTTTTTTTTTTTAAATTGTTTATTAATTTAAAGAACCCGATCAACTGGTACACGTAAACAGCACTCACAAGGGGTCTGTTCGGCCAATTTTGGTGGATTGTGTCACCACAAATTTTGTGTTATAGTACTTTCATACTCTTTCAGAGCCTCTGTGAACTCTGAAAAGCTCTTGAACTTGGCTCCTACTTCCATGCTGAATAGATCTAGAAAAACTAGAACTAGGTGTTGAGTAATTTCAGATTTGCGATGCAATAGCCTTGGGGCAAACAGAACGCTGCTGGCAAGGTTCCCTCAGGGCTCTGTTTTGAAAAATGAAAATGCCACGCAGGTAAGCTTATTATATAGGCTAAGACCGCCCAGTTTCGCGGAATCTCGCGCAGCGTTCACAGCGCGCAACGATCTCGCGCAGCGCGCAGGTCGGGTCGACCCTATGCAAATATAATTATTTCTTATTCGCACACCCGGTGCGAATGATATTAATTCTTATATGTGCACACCCGGTGCGAATAATATTAATTCTTATGCGCACACCCGGTCATAATTAGCAACATAACTGCGATCTTCCATTGTCTTTGATATGACCTGATATCTGTTTCAAAGCAAAAGAAACCTCTCCTGACACTCCACTCGTGGGTTTTTTTTAAATTGTTAGAGAGCGCATTTCTCTCTGGAGGCACGACTTGTCTTTTCCTGTACATTGTGTCATCATTGTTACAAGTCATGTTTGTCATCACTGTTATGACAAGTCAGCTCCATTGATTTTGTGCTTTTGCCTCATATTAGTTTAAAAATTGTATTACACATGTGTTTTTCTGGTACTGAGGCTTTGATAACTGTATTTGTACAGCCTTTCACTATTGTGATGTGTTGTCAATGATAATGTCCAATGAGTGTCCTTTCTTGTATATAACAATGATGACATCATGTTCTGAGCACTGTTAAAAAGCTTGTCATTTATATAATATTACCATTATGAATGGAGTTCATAGTGTACAAAGTCTTTGTTTACTACTAAACAAATGGAATTTTAAGTCCAATTTGCCTTGCTGCTTATAACTGTTTTTGTCATCACTGTTACATACAGTGGTTGCCAAACCAATAGACCCATATATAATATCTCCAAAACCCTACATCTCCTTGCTCTGATACTCTAGGAATATATGAGCTCTAAATGTCAATCTGTGACTGACAGAAAAGGGAGTCAAATTGGTAAGAAAAATTGTTTTGCACCACTGAGTCTCAAGAGAGTCTCACGTTTTGGCAATTGCTCATATATATAGATCGAGATCTATATTATATATATATATATATATTCCCTCCCATACCGTTGCCCACTGCCCGGCCCTACTTATATTATCCTTACTTAAGAAAAGACCACAGTTTGCACTGGGTCACCACGGTCGGCGTCCATTTGTTGTAAGTTCCTGGGCCAGGTCGTAGAAACCGAGGAAGGCCAAGGTTGAATTGCTTGTCTGCTTCACACCCGGTACACCAAGTGATTGCGCACTCACATTGGAGTTTTGAGTCCGAATAGCCACGAAAGGTTATTTGGACTCGAATTTAGACTCGAGTCCGAATAGCCTCCTGCGGCTGTTCGGACTCGAGTCCGAATGGCTTCAGCCTTTTGAGTCCACACCCCACTCCCGACAGGATATATAATTTTTAGTGCATGTAAAGCTTTCTGGCACCTCACATGAAGGTTTTTGATCTCCGATAAAAAGTACGTTTTTTTGTCAAATAGGCCTACAAGTCCGAAGAAACAAGCCTGGTCCTGGATGGGAATGGTGTCAAATCTGGTTGCAGTACACAGTGAGAGTATTATCGTTTTTAAAAGCATGTGACGGTGCTCAACCTAATCTAAATCTAATATTATTATCTAGATCTAGAATCTAGATCTAATCTACATCTAATATCAAGACGATATCTAGATTCCAGCTATCTAACTTGGCCACCCCGGGTGAGAATAGCGCAGGCGCACATTGGCTATTCTCGCCCGTTGTGCGTTCACCGTTATAGTTTTAGCCTTGGCCAACCAGTGTAGCGTTCACCCTGAACCACAGAATTCTACACTGTGATAAATAACAGAATTATTGTAGAATTCTGAGCCGTGAACCAACGTTCCGGTGCTCTTGTGTTACTACTGTTACTGTTAGCCTAAAAGCATGCAATTTGTGGACTGTGGGCAGTGGAGAGAAAAAAAGAGAAAGAGAGAGAGAGAGAGGAGTAGCGCGAGAACTTCCGGGCAAAACAAAATGGCGACCCACGTAGTTCCGCTCGATTCGAAAAGTGAAATAGCCATTATTTATAGCATCTTTGTAGACAATCAAATTAGCTTACTTTTGAGCTATAATCTAGATTCTATATATATAAATATATTTATTACGTCATTTTTTCTTAGAAGCTTTTGTCAATGGAAGTGGCTATTCTCATCCGGGGTGAGAATAGAAAAACGATCTACCTCTCACCCCGGGTGAGACTTGCCAGCGTAGGCTATTCTCACCCGCTGCGAAACAAGACCTGCTTTTCCTCATTTTGGAATACTGTCTATCGGTGTGGATGATCAAATAGATAAAAGCCAAGAAAAAATTACGTTATAGCACAAAAGTAAGATAATTTGATCGTCTTCAAAGATGCTATGGCTATTTCACTGTTCGAATCAAGCCCAACTACGCGGGTCGCCATTTTGTTTTGCCCGGAAGTTCTCGCAAGATCTACTCCTCCCCTCTCTCTCTGTCTCTTTCTGAATACTGTCTATCAGTGTGGACAATCAAATTGACCAAAACAAAGTTAAAAAATGATGTTAAAACACAAAAGTAAATTAATTTGGTTGTCTACAAAGATGCTACGGCTATTTAACTTTTCGAATCGAGCCGAACTACGCGGGTCGCCATTTTGTTTTGACCGGAAGTCGCGCTACTCCTCTCTCTCTCTCTCCACTGCCCACAGACAAAATTGTACGCTTTTAGTAGGCTACAGTTGTAATGGAACGTTTGTTCACGGCACAGAATTCTACAATTTTTCTGTTATCACAGTGTAGAATTCTGTGGTTTAGGGTGAACGCAAAATTTGTTGGCCTAGATCTAGGCTATAACGGTGAACGCGTTTGCACTATTCTCACCCCGGGTGAGAATAGAGGTGGCCTTTGTCAATTTGATCATCCACACCGATAGATCTAGACAGTAGAATTTAGTCCGAAATTAGTGGCCTTAGGAGGAAAAACAGGTTTCACACCGGGTGAGAATAGCCAACGCTGGCAAGTCTCACCCGGGGTGAAAAGTCGATCGTACTTTATATTCTCACCCCAGGTGAGGATAGCCACTTCCATCTAAAGTTAAAGTTTACATCTGGGTTACTGTTGTAGACCTCTGCCTCTAGACTAGACTAGATCTAGTTTAGAGATAGTAGTTAAGTATTAGAAGATCTAGCTAGATCTAGAATCTAGAGTCCAGAACGCGAGACTACAACACTCGCTTCTTTTACTCTCTCTTGTGTCGCTTGTTTTAAATCTCTAGCTTTAGTAGATCGAAGTGATTATTCGGACTCGAGTCCGAATATGAAAAAATGTTATTCGGACTCTGATTCTTGTCCAGCATGACATCACTTCCAACTTCCTGTGACTCGTGACTCCGGCTTCCTGTCCTGCCTCACTCGTGACTCGCCTCAGGCTGGGTAGAGACCGGGATCACTTCGAGCAAAAAGGCGTTTTGTGCAGGAGCCGAGTTTTAATCTTACGATGAATTTGAGGCCGGCCTGAAAAGTTATAGCGCTTCTAATAAATGTTTATTTGTCAAGAGGTCATCAGAAGCAATTAAAGATGGCTCGTCAGCGTGTGTCGGGGTCGGATGGGCGGCCTGCACACGTGTGGCTGTGTGCGTGTCAGGGAGGGGGGTGGGGGCACTTCTATCGGTCCGGGCGTTGAACGTCGCATACGCGTCAGTCTCCCCCCCCCCCCCCCGGCAACTGATCATTATTACAATAATAAGCTAGTCTTGACGTAGATCTACGTAATGAATTGTGCGCTGGTCTATGGAATCAAAAGTTGCTGTATGCTCAGCTCAACACAGCAACACAACTTTTTCTGGATAAACAGCTCATAATATAATGCAGGTGCCAGGTGGTCTGCTAATCTTCAATTTCACCTTTTCCTACAACAAAGAAAGTGGGAAACATGGGGGGGGGGTTGGGGGGGCGTATCAATGAGGCTGCGGGCATCGGATCGGCAGAAAAAGTGTGTGTGTGTGGGGGGGGGGGGAGACTAAAAAATGGCGGAAAATTGGAAGCACTGAATGTTAGAACTCTATAGAAAACGAAAACACTTCCTTTTTTCCGGACCCGAGTCCGAATAACGACAGCCTTAGTGCCTTTAGTAGATCAATAGACGCATTGTTGTGTACACTGTTGTCTGTTGTGAGTTCGATGAACCAACTTCCCTCCGAGTCCAAGTTTGTGCAACTTTGTTGGAGTGATGGAGCCTTTAGAGGTGGGCGATTTTGTAGTTCCGTTTGTTAAAGTCAGGAGTAGGGAGGCTTCAGGGGGGCTTGCCCCGCCTGGGGGGGGGGTACAGGGGGGCATGAATTTTATCCTAATTTGATGTTTTGCAGTTAGTTAGGTTGCATCCCTGCTCTTTGTGTAGCCTAATTCAAATAGTAGGCTTACCCAAATAGTATTTGGTCTTCGAGACTTCTGGATTTCTTCTCTGGATGTAAACAACACACATGGATCTTGGACTTTAACGAACGGAACTACAAGTACAAGATCACCCAACACAGTGTCCCACCGGGTAGGGGTAGGCCTACAATTCTAGCCGTGCCGTGCTTTCTCGTCAGTACTGAGAACCAAGAATACACACAAATCTAAAACTAAAGTGACATGAACTAGATCTAATTTTTGGTTTCTCTTTCCGTGACTACTCTATCAATCTAAAAGTACTTTCAGCACATTTCGATTCAGCATCAACAACAGGACACACCAGGTTTTTCAGGATCCTCACAAACTCAACACACGCACACCACAGGTGTACTGTTAGTACGATGACGATAGGGGATAAGAACGAAGAAGAAAGCTCGTTATTTATCTTGATCGTATTTTCATTTCATGTATACCAAATAGGCCCTTTGTCATTAAAACTATTACAGAATAGAGCACTTTCAATGTTACAATATGTATAAATTGTTTACCATAAAACAAACCATTTTAGAAGTGAAAATTTATGTAATCTATCTGCAAATTGAAGAGTGGTAAAAAGATATGGATTCCTATTCAATTAATCATAATATATATTTCTGAAGATGCTAAATGATCTGGCAACTCAGTTCTAGGGCTTTCTGGTGTTGACCTGAATCACAGAACGCCCCTCCCCTCTGACCAAATATGGCAGGACATCTACAAACACAGCTGCGCTAGGCCTATGCTGTTTCTTAATTCTCTGCAGGCCGATACCAAGACTGATACATGTCAAGTTTTAGGACACACATAAAGAAAGCTTTAAATCACTTTTTTATCAACGACAAAAGAAACAACTCGACCGAAATTAGATAGCTTCCCTTGCCTAGCAATATGATGTTTGTTGTTGCCAAGTCGAACAGCCGCCTCTGTGGCCAAGTGGTAAGGCGTCGGTCTCGTAAACCGAAGATCCAGGGTTCGATCCCCTGCGGAGGCAATGTTGATGATTTTTTTTTTGGTTTTTGGTTTCCTTAGATTCTCTCTTTCAAAGTACGTTGCTTTTTTATCTGTTTCGCAATAGATCTATGTATTTAATCTAGTTGGATGTTGGTGTTAAACAGGAAAAAGCAATTCTATCTGTGTGCTTTAATGTTATTTTAAACTCTTGCACCTTGTGTTGGCCAACGATAATCTGTGTATTTTCGTTTGCAATAAGTGAGCACCCGCAATTTATATACATGTAACAAAGAAATTTAGAACAACATGGAGAGAAAAATGGAAAGGAATGTTATACTGGGTATAAATCAAACAAAAACAATTGATATAGACACATTTTTAATAGGAGAAGCAACAAACGCAGCGCGACATCCCGAAATTTGTAGTCCAAATGCAGTGACTGCGGTCAAATCGGCAGAGTAAAAGACAACACCCCCCCCCCCCCCCCCCCCCCCCCCCAAAAAAAAAAACCCAAAAAAAACAAACAAACAAACAAACGCACTTAAAGGAGACGAAGCGGGGGAAAGATTATAAGAGGAAGACCGAAAAAAATGTTGCAGGGTGATATAAAAAAGCGGACAGCGGACAGGTAGCCTAAAACCTGAACACGTGAGAAACCAGCTGATAAAAACAGAGAGGAGATGTTGTTGAAAGTCTATTTCTGCTGTATGGATGGACTATGCCTAGAAAGAATGAAAGAATGAAAGAAAGTGATAGTCTGTAGCCTATAATCAAAGAACGAATTTAATTTCGATCTCAACTCTCTCTCTCTCTCTCTCTCTCTCTCTCTCTCTCTCTCTCTCTCTCTCTCTCTCTCTCTCTCTCTCTCTCTCTCTCTCTCTCTCTCTCTCTCTCTCTGAGTATGTGTGTGTGTGTGTTTGTGTGTGTGGGGGGGGGGGGATTATGTACAGTGGGTGTCGCATTTAACGAGGTCACATTCAACGAGATGTCGGCTCCAACGAGGCAATCGTTAATCCCCGATTTTCCTCTATATCTCTTTGTAAATCTATGTACTACGTCAGCTCCAACGAGGTTGCAAACAGACCGATAAGTCGCTTTCAACGAGTTGCGATAACCAAATAAAAGCAATTAGCGGCCCAAAAAGCGAAGAATTTTTCTCCTTTCTCTCCATCTCACGCGAAGCACAAGGCCCATCCTCGATTCTTAACCTAACACATTGCATTGCTAGATTTAGTACGTGCCTCCTAATGGGCCCCAAAGCCAAGAGGTTGGGAGAGGGTTAGCCTTGTATTGATGGGAGGGGATGGGTGGGAACGCGATGAGAGCTTTGTGAAACTGGATAAACTCTTGATGGGTAGGTCTAGATCGAGACCTTCATTTTTTTTCAATTTTTTTCTTCACCTGATCAGAAAATCAAAGTTCCTGTCTTTACTTTATGTAGATCTAAGTCTAGATGTGAGAGGGTGTGTTTCCACACGGGAAGTGTTCCAGGGGGGGGGGGGGGGGGGGGGAATAATTAAGAAATGAGGGTCAGAACCAAGGAGCTTGGTCAGAACACAGCTCAAACACGCGCACACTGATGCTGTTTGATTTTCGTCATCAGGGGGAACAACTTAACTTTTTTAAATACTGATATTGGTACATCGTGTAATAATATAACGTGTCTCCTTTCTTTTCTTTAGCCGAGTCTCCAACGAGGACAACAAGCCAGTCCCGGCAACCTCGTTGAATGTGACACTATAACACCAACTGTACCTGCCTGTCTTTAGTCTGCATTTCTGTTTGCACGCCTAATATTTTCAGTTGGTAGGAAATTTTGAATTTTGCCCGGGTGGCGGCCGAAGCCTACTCTTACCGATTTTAGACCACCAAGGGATCTTTAACGTGCGCAACTTGCACACGGGCCCTCCGAGATTTTTCGCCCTTGTCCAAGAAGGCTAGGTGTAGATCTTTCCTACCAGAAGATCAAGGGTGTGGCAGAAAGACAGCTGTAAGAGTAAGAAGGAGTCAGGAGTAGAAAGGCTGCAGAAAGAGTCAGGAGCCCAGAGGAGGGGGCAAAGGAGGTGAGGGGTGGGGGGGGGGGGCAAAGGAGGGGGGGGGGGGGGGGTCAGAAAGAGGTGACGAAAGCAGACGACAGAATATTGCTAGAAAGCAGGAAAGGTGGTGAAAGGAGACCATTTTAGAGAAGAAAATTTTTCGGTTGCTACCCGGATTCGAACCCGGGACCTTTGAATGAGAGACCAACACCTTAACCTCTAGGCCACGAGAGCCCCCGGTCATTTTCCGCAATAACAATAATTATAATTATAATAATAATAGGCCTAATAATAATAGGCCTAATAATGAGAAGAAGAAGAAGAAGAAGAAGAAGAAGAAGAAGAAGAAGAAGAAGAAGAAGAAGAAGAAGAAGAAGAAGAAGAAGAAGAATACAATCAAACTCTGTTTTACCGCCTACCTTGGGATAGCATAGGCTTGGCGGTAAAGCGGGGCTGATTGTTTAACGGGATGGATGGCACTGACGGCTATCTTCAATAGTGGTAGACAGAGACTAGGGACAAACTGCATTGCGGGCAGTCTTGCTTCATCTGGATGTATCTTGCGAGACTGCCATGCGAAGGAGAACAACGCGTAGCACCCAATCCAAACTTATATTTTCTGCCGGATCAGAAGCTCGATCGATTCTATCAAAGGTCCTGTAGACGTACGGGTCGCCTCAGACCTGTAAGGTAGACTTGAGCCTGATTCCTCACAAATAAAAGCCTCAAGGGCGCCCATCAACGTTTTCTGTAAGGAAGGCCTTTCTGTAAATCTATATTTGATTTACATTATCGATCTAGGCCTATACCTGGCAACACCAGATTTTTGCCTAAGCCCCAATGAGGTTATACAGCTGTAAGTTGTAAGGTCCTTGCTAGGCCTACAGAACGAGATGACACAGTTCCTTTGAAGTTGCTCCGGCGGCGACTTTAAGATTGCATTCCAGATTGACCAAAGCCTGAAGACGCTTGTAGGCTAGGCCCTAATTCTCATTTTCAGTGCAAATCAGGAGTATCGGCGACAAATCGGGGGGGGGGGGGGGGGGGGGGAATTGTGGTGTAAAAAAATAATTGACACCGGCCAATCTCTACTGGCAAAAATCTGACCCCGCACGGACCTGGAGAGATTCACGGGACTGGAGAGACCCGGGCACTCAAGAGTCAAGAGTGAGTGAAAAGAGGGACCGAGTCGATCGGGCCAGAGAGCAGTGGCCACTGAGGCGGGCAGTCGCGCCAGATCGCAGAAGAACAGAAATAACTTCCATCCAGAAGGAGACCCCTTATCTTCATTTACAAAGAAACATCGGAAGAACCTGGAACAGAAGATTAGCACTTATTCAACAATAATTTTTAAAAAATATTTAAAAAATAGGCCGAACTTGACGAGACGTGAATGGGATAAATGATTGGGTGCTGTGCGACCTGTAAGCCTAGGCTAGTCAGTGCGTACCTCTACATGGCGCGGCGACCAATTCACTGGCGGTACACAGGGACAAATTAACATTAGTTTAATAAAGACCGTACAACTTGAAAGCTTGGTGGATGGTGGATGGTGATGTAAAGAAGCAATTAATACTCTCTTTTTAAATACGTTCTTTTTCGTGTATTGGCAAAACCTGGTGAAGTGGGCCAGCGGTTTAACGGGAGCGGTGTAACGATGTATGTTCATGTAATAATAGCACGCCCAATTAACAGCGATCAAAGATCAAAGATCGCTGTCAAACATTGACAAAGAATTCTACCTGACAGCAGAAGAGCTTGCCTTTTTAATTCTTTTTAGATAAGGTTAAAGTCAAAATAAGGTTCTACTAAAAAATAACCTGTCATTTTAGAACAAACAGATAAAACAGAAATATTCTGCCGATAGAAAAGAATACCACCCTAGATCTACGTTCGCTCAGTCCTGTAGAGGATTTTTTGTTTTGTTTTATATTTTTAAAATAGTTTTTAACTATATAATCTTTTTTTAAAAATTGTAAGTGTTTTACCGCGCTCGCACTGCATGTTATGATAAGGTCAAATGGGCGCACGGGACACATTAAAGCGTACATTTTCAGTGGGTAGAACACTGAATTTTGCACGGGTGGCGGCCGAAGCCTACTCTTATCGATTTTTGGACCACAAAGGGATATTTAACGAGCACAGCTTAAACACGGGACTTCCGAGATTTTCCACCCTTGTCCGAGAAGGCGAGGGGTAGATCTTACCTACCATAAAATCAGGGATGTGACTGAAAGACAGCAATAAGAAGGAGCCATGGAGTAGCAGAAAGAGTTAGGAGCCCAGAGGAGGGAGCAATCTGTCCCCGTCGGATTATGCGATTGTGCGGCCACGTTTTTTTCGCGTAATTCTGCATATTTGCATAATTTTAGATTCT